CATGGGATCCAAACCCTCGGCGGGAGCGCCGCCACACTCCCAAGCGGCGCACTCTCCAGTGCGCCACCGGGCCAGCCCCAAATTTCAGGCACGTTTAATCATACTGACAGGCTGACATAACAAAGAGACCTCCAGGTATTTAAACAGCAGATATACATGTAGTTAAGAATAGAATTGAGAATGTGATGCTATACTAAGAAGTTTGCCGATAGTGGTACCCAACGTATAGTAAACAATGTGATGTTCTCCGAGCTGTTTCCTGGCTCTGTAGGTCTGCAGAGCAGAGAAGAGAGGAGCCTGAGTGGAGCTTTCTCCACCTCATGCTTATGTATTTTACACACTGGGCATCTACAGAGAATTTCTTAAAAAGGGAGGAGGGGTGGAGTTCCCCACTAAAAGAAAAATGAAGTTTGAAAATCACTGCTGCAAATATGTCTTAATTCTCCCCTCCCTCAGATAAGTTACTATTCGTATTGATGTTCAAATGGTCTCATCTTTGACCAGTAGAAGTTCATTAACGTTGGCCGCCAAATCCTTTTGACATCACCCACACAAAAAAACTAGATGCCCAGCCTAACATGAGGAATATTAATGTATTCGTTTCTGTTGCTTATAACAAAGTACTTGGAACTGGGTGGTTTATAAAGAAAACAAAATTTATTGCTTATAGTTTCTGAGGCTGGGAAGTCCAGAGTTCATCTGGTGGTGGTGACAGTGACCCACGGGTCTCACATCGCAAGACGGGAGAAGGGAGAAGAGAAGAGAAGGGAGGCAGAGAGAAGGCAGACTCTCCTCTTCTTTTAAAGTCCTCAGAACCATTTTAAATCCATTGACTACCGCACGGTCCTACAATCTAATCACCTGTTCAAGGCTCCACCTTTCAATTATTATAATAGGATGTCCCACCCTCTTAACAGTCACAGTGGGGGCTAAGTTTCTAATCATAAAACTTGGGGGATACAAGTCAAGCTTCAGGGAGCTTTGGGGGTACATAATTCAATCCACTACAATTATAGTGGTTTAAATTTTTAAAATAGTTATTTTTTAATACTTTATACTGGAATACTGTGCTCCGCTATCCAAGTGTAACTTTATTTTATTTATTTATTTTTATTATCTTTCTAAATATAACTTTAAATGGGTGAATTGTATGGTATATGAATTATATCTTAATAAAGTTACTATAAAAAATATGAGTCAGTTATTACATGTTAATGCTAGAAAACTTTAAACCCTGGAGTTAATTTTAAGACTTTCTTTCTTTTTCTTGACTGGTAAGGGAATCTGAACCCTTGACCTTGGTGTTATAACACCGTGCTCTAACCAACTGAGTTAAACAGCCAGCCAAGACTTTCTCTTTTTTCTCTTTAATTAAAAGATAAAGTACAGAAGATTAATATTTTGTCTCAAACACACACACTTCAGGGATCGACCGCACCTTGCATTCCAGAGGCTGACTCAGCCTGCTCAGCAGATTTCATCATTCCCTGGGGAGCACAGACTTGGCATGCCATCTGGTTCCCTTGCCCAGGCCTTCTGCTTTGCATGGCATAACAAATGGCAAGTAAGAGGGTTGAGGTAGTTGGTTAGTTTGTTAATTAACTTCTTTTATCCCAAATTACTGGATTTAGAGTTATTTATTGGTTGATATTGATCTTTGCAGAAAGAGCTAGTGCCTGTAACGTATTCATGTGGGTTATCATTTTGCAGATATTCAGTACATCCTTACTGTTAGGAACGTCCAAGAGAAGCAGTACCATCCAGAAGTGAGATAGAAATGATATGACGACAGTTTATGTTTTGGATTATGGGTGCCATTTTTTCCTCTGTTATCTCAGCTAACTTTTGTTTATTTGTATCTTATTTTGGATATGCTTAAAGGATTGAAGTTTGCATTTTGCCTCTTAAAAAGATTGGCTATTGGTTGCAAAGAACAAGTCTGTGTAGTGTTCTCCACAACCAGATCAGAGCTTTGGAATT